TCATAAATATTCATGTGTTTACTTTTAGTACAACCACTATGTAGCTTAATCTCAGAAAAAAAATCTTCTGTGCCAGTCCAGCTATGATGTCAAATAGATATGGAGGAAAGATAATGCAAAAGAAAGCACAGAGAACAAAAGTTATCACTGCAAAGTAGAGCTTCTGGTTGCCAAACATTTGCTATGTGTCCAGTATATCTGGGTTTGGTCAGGCCAAGGGAATATTCAGATTTTAATGTAAACTATCTTAGGAGTTAGCCACTCAATAAAGACTATTAACCTGATCAGACTATCTAGTTGCTCCTACTTTTTCTAATGGTTATTCAGAAATTGAAGGGAAAGCTATTTTTGTGTGTGTATGGATTAAGTTTTTATAATGAAGGAATGTGTATAAAAAGTATCTCAGCCTCTTCACCTAAGTGTTTTCTCATTCAGCTATAAAGGGAGGGAAAGAAATAACCATCTTAGCTATTAGCTCATATTATTATAGATTAAAAATTATGCATAGAGATGAATGGACAGATAACTATACCTGGAACTATAATACATCTCTGTATCTGTATGTTTTCAAACATTTCAGTTATTCTTCCAAACTCAATTCTCTCATGTATCCTAAATGTATTTTCTAAGTGGCTGAACTACTTTTATTCAGTATAAAATTAAAGTAATGTATGTTGTATTTATTTCTTCCATTATTTCTTTACTCTTCATAGAAACTAGCACATATAAATTTGACATATCTTATTCTCATTGCCTGATAATTAAAGAGAATTATATCTTTGTCAAATATACTATTTTAAAATTTGTTACATTCTTAGTAATGTTAAAAAGCAATATTTGGATCAATGTGTGGTATGGATTTCTGTAGATTTTTCTACTCACTGAGGCATGCAGTCAATACCTAATTTCTCTAGAGATATACTGCATTTAACATATTGAGCTTTTTAAAATACTTCAGACCTAGGCATTGAGTGTATAATACCTGTTTTAATTCGACATCATTGATGACCATAAAATATGATATCTAAATTGTACTTTAAATGTCCATTTGTTTATGTAATATATTCAGTGTCAGATATATTAACTTTTTAAAAAATTTTTTGCCAATTGCTACAGTATATGAAATCCAAGTCTGGTGTTATTTCTTGCCTGGTTTCCTTTTATTTTGCACCAACTTACAAAATACATGTGAAATAAACTGAGAATATATTTTCATGTTACCAAACTTAGGAAAATGACAGGGTTTGCACAATACTTACCTTCCCAAATACTAATTCAAAAAAGAAATCTCATTTTCCTATTATAAAGTATAAAGGTAAGCAATCAAATATTGGTATTTCCTTATTTCATTAGTTGACAAAAATATATACTGTGTAGGTAAATTTGACTGCTCTATTTAAATAGTCTGGCTAATGTATAAACAATAATGAAGATTATTGCTTCTCTGTGGTATATAACCATTGGTTTACATTCACACATGACTTTTAAAGTCTTAACATACATCTTGACCTTTTAATTGAACTCTTTTGTTAAAGACTATGCAATGGCCAAATGTAAACTATCTCTGCTCTGTTGAATGGCTTTTCTTAATCTTCACGTAGTAGGGTTTCATGAGGAAACGTAATTTAAAATTTAAAAGATACTGGAAAAATAGAGACCTGGGTTCAGTATTTTATCTGAAATATTATTTATTATATTCTATTTTCCTAATATCTTTTTTGAAACTACAGTAAATGTGGTTACCATAATATTTTGTAGCTCTTTGTACGTTCTAATGGACAAAATATTGAATTATATAAGTTATCCGTTAGAAAACTAAGAACAAACTTTAAATTTGTCCTTTATATATCACTATTCAGTTTGTCAAGGAGCATCTTATCAGCAGTTTTCTGCTTTCATATTGTCATGTCTGGTTACATATATTCATATTTTGGGCATTTGATCCCAAACATTTTCAAGTTCATTTTATTTTCTACCAATCCCTGTTTCTCTTCGTATTCCATGATGCTACTATATTAAGAAATAAAACTAAACAGAAAGTCCCTTAGGCAAATAATCAGATCCATTTGGGGGGAGGGTGGTTAACACTTAAACTTTGCTTTTTCACTTTCATTCCTATTGGTGAATTTTACTCCAGTTTGTCTTTTGAGGACCAGTTCTCAAAAGTGGTCTCTATGTTGTTTTTGTACGATTGGAAAGACCATTTAACACTTTATAAATAAATATTCTAAATTAGAGATCCTTCTTTACGAGAGTGAAATAGCTTGAAAGAAATAATTTTTCATTCAACTATCCTTTTATAAAACTTAGGGATGCAGCTTAGATCTTGGTATCTGTGGCTTGTTTATGACCAAAGCATGTTTCTTTATGTCAATATGTCTTTCAGTGCTTTAAGTTAAATTGCCTGTTTCAGTAGTGTAAATAATGCTATTTGAATAATAGTAAAATTAATTCTGGAGGCAAAGAATTCTTAGATTGAGCATGGACTTTGGATTCTAAAAGACTTGAACTTCAGTGTTGAGCTCCATCCAGTTTTGCTCTTTGATACTGAACAAATTATTTAGCCTCTCTTAGCTTCTTTTTTTTTGTCAGTATGGTTAATAATATTTTACACTGTTCGAGTGATTCAATGCAATAATAAAAAAGCAGGTAGAGTACCTGGCACAGTAGCAGCACAACAATTGTTTTTATTGGTTCTGCATTCTTTTTTTTTTTTTTAACTTGCTGCATGTCATGCTTTATTCTCTATGGTGTATATGTTTTATTTGTTCCTTTTAGTTCTACGTGACAATGGAGTCTATTTTGACATTTATACAAACATAGAGTATATCTTATTCTAATTAGGATCCTAGTCTTATGGATGTGCAGGATGTTGAGATTCACTGTTGTGTATTCATGTAGATACATAGGAAAGTTTGGTCAGATTCTAATTCATTGAAATAAATTCTAAGTTCTCACATAGGCCTTTTTTTTTTTTTTTTTTTTT